ACAGACGGAGATATGCGTGGCCAGGCATGGCCGAAACCCTCACGTTGTCATGGTGAGTCTTAGTCAATGACGCGGCTGTTTCTAACTGATACTGACATTTAAAAACAGTTGGATTTTGTCAGCGAGGGTCAGGTCATTGAAGCTCAGCGTATACTGAACGGTCTTTGAGCTGGGTGAGGCATGAAACGTCTTCAGTGGATAGGAAAACGAGTTTATGTTAGTTTGAGAGCAATGAACATCATCTGAGCCAGCGACCTCGGCCCCGTAATGCACATGGACGAGATGAGTAGGACCCGTGCAACTCGGACGAAACCGAGGACGAAACCGAGGACGACAATGAAGACGACAAAGACGACGAAGACAACGACGACAAGACAGCCATGGCCATGACACAACCACAAATATGACGATAATTGTTGTTTTCTGTCATTATTTGGCGTCAAATTCTCAGGGCACGGTTGTCGGCTGCTGCATCATCCCGGAAGTCGTGCAACTATCCAAGTCGGGAGGCATTACCGGTTCGTTAGCGAGGGAGAGCATATCACAATATATAGGGCTCGATGTTATGATAGCAAAATGATGTACTATGACTTGAGAATAAATGTCTCTCCTGTCCACCCGTACGCCCTACTTAAACGCCTGCCATGGCGCCGCGCGACGACGAACGGAACCTTGCCATGTGGGTGAGGCTCGTGAAACTGGATCCTGCTCTGATCGGATGCACCAATCCGAGAAAACTGCCAGACTGAGCCGTACAGCTTCTCAGCGGTGAACTTTCCAGTAGATGTGAGCGCATATATAAAGTCTCTCCAAGACACCTCGCCAGGTGTCGAAGTTATGGCTGGGTCGTAAAACAGTATCCGGAAGACCTTTAGCGCACGCGTGTCTACCTTGATCTGCTCAGGTTTTTCCTCTGCTGGGTCTGGAGCCGTTTCAGTGGCTGCTACAGGTGCCTCGCTTGCCTCTGCCGTTGTCTTCTTCCTTGTCTTCGTCTTCATCTTTGTTGTTGGTGAAGAATCCATAAGTGCTGCAGAACCTCCACTGTTGTGCCCAAAGTAGAGTGTTGATAGCGGCTTGTAGAGGACCTTAACATTAGATTTCGCGACTTTGGGTTGGTCCTTGGCTACTGGCTTGGGCTTAACCCATTCTGAAGTACGCTGTATCGGGCGTGGTCGGGACAGTGCTTGTTTTACGCTCATGCCCCTGAGGCCTCCAGCGTCATCCTGCAATGATCGATCGATGCTGGCCCAGAATTGATCTAGATTTCTTTCCGCCTGGATTATCGCTGCAGTTGTCTCCCTTGTCCTGCGCTTTGTCGAGGGGTATGCAAATCTGTTAGTACCCTTGCAAAACTTTGCGGCTTGTTGCATCTTGGGGTTTCTCTCGTTCAATGCCTGGAGTAGCTGACCCCAGGGGCTGGTTGCTCTAGCAAACTCCTTCTTCAATGCGTCATCTCTGTCAACCAATGCATCCATAAAGCCACGCGCCCATGGCTGGTACATCTCGAGCTGTCGGAGACAGTGCCCAATGCTGGAAAGACTTCCTATGTGCGCGGCAATGCGGGCCGATATAAGATGCTTCAACTGCGGCTCGTTTGCCAACAGACGTTCCAGCTCATCGAGGACAAATGGCAAGCCCATCAAAAGGATATTTTGGCTATCCTCCCAGAGCGTTTGGAGTAGCCAGATGGGCTCAGCTTCATTTTTGTCTTTCTTGATACCGGGTTTGCTCCTGATAGAAATCATGGTAGAGGTCGGGTCAGCAGGAGGCTCCCGCACGAAAAACTTGCGCATGGGTGGCGATGCAACCACGCTCTGCTTAAGCTGGCTCTAGTGGCCTTTAGCTGCTTGGTAGAGGTAGTGTCGAAATTTCAGCAAGGCCATCAGGAACTCCTCCAGTAGGCTCTTCCCTGGGGATATAACAGGCACGTATTTGGCATGCGTCTGCTACAAGTGAAGCGCTTGCTTGTGTAGCCCGGCAAAAAGCTCAAACTCCATGTAAGCGCCCGACACAGTGTCGCACATAACGCGGGTCCAAAATAGGTTCTGGAATCTTGAGCTCAGGACAGGATGTACGTCGCCCTTGGTGTCCTTGAGCATCTCTTGGCAATGCTCCATGGCCTCATGTAGCTGCTCAGCAAAGTATCCTAGGTCCTCCCATAGCTGCCAGATATAATCATCTGCAGACTCCATCTGCACACGGAGGATTGCCTCCATTCAAGCGAAATCCAGACAGGCAGGAACACGGTAGGGGGCTTCCAGCGCCATGATAGCCATCGAGTCAAACCCATCTATTTCCATCTCGGTCTTCAACAATGGCTCCAGTTCCACCGGATATGCATCCGTAAGAAGAACATCAGGGGGTATATCATGGAGCATCTTCTGACAGAAGGTGACAAGGAATTCCATAACCAGGTTCTAGGCTTCAAGCACGAGGAGGCCTTCTCCCGGCATAAACTGCATTCGATTCGCATACCAAGAAAAAGCATCCTCATCATCATCCCACGACACCAAGTCCCCGTACTTGTAGTGGTCCTTTAGAAGGTTGAGAACCATGGTATACAAGTTTAGGAATACAGGCACCACATTCTGCGACACACGCCCGAAGTGCATAGCATCGGAATCGGCGCCAGCAAAGCTGGTAGGGGGGTGACGACCTCGCGCATTAAGCAGCAGGAGGAGAGTCCTCGGCTTGAGCAAATCCTCCTGGTTGATGTAGGGACACATGAAATGCGTCCTTTGGGATTGTGCCGATTCGCCGGGTTGTCGCGTCGCGGACTTGCGCCTCCAGATGGCAAAGTCGATGGGTTTTTGCCATGCCGGGCCATGCCTCTTCGAGTATTGCGAGCTTCTGTTGCTTCTTCTTCTTGGTCCAGCGCTTCTGGATGGCAGCCTCGTGCCGAGCCACGATTGCCTTCAGCATGTCATAATGGGCGAAGATGGCCTGCGACAGATCTCGTGCCTTGGCGCGCAGGTGTTCTGGACTCATTGTAGGCGGAGGAGCCAGCATGCCCGAAAACGAGGCCACAGTGGCTGGGTCGCTAAAGTCGGCGTTATCGAAATATGGGCCATCCCACTCCGACTCTTCATCGAAGAGCCCGGGTATTGGGGGATTGAGGTCGAATGGAAATGGCCATCGGTCCATTGTATGGCTTTTTGGTTAAGAAAAAGTCCCGTCCCGTTATCACACTGAGTTGGTCCACTACAGCCAATGCAGTAGGGGCGATGAGAAAGGTCAATACTCACTTGTTGCTTTGCAGAGAAGGCCTATTGTATGTGTCCAGTTTGAATGCCTGGAGGATAGGTATTAGAAGCCTATCAGTATCAGCACCCAGTGATCAGCTGCCACGTACACTGATAAGTCGGGCGGTGAACAATAGGTTGAGTCTAAGTATTTTAGCTTGTACGAACAGATGTCTGGGCCCTTCCAGTTTTCCTACTAAATCCGTGCTTACTTACCGTCAGTGCCTTACACAGGGTCCGCTTTCGTTGTAGGCCGGGAACGCTGTAGCCCGACTGTAGCAGGCTGGAAGACACCCACCAGCGCAGGGCGGATTGGTCGCTACTACCGACCTATGTACATAGGCAGTCGAGTAATTCCAGATGTGCTCTAGTGCAGATGGGAGCAGTCAGCGCCCGCCGGCACCACACGGCAGCATCATCACAGAGGCCAAAAAGCACTATCAAACTCGCCATGGCATTCGCAATTGGCAAAAAGAGAGCCAATGAGCTCGTCCTCCTCCGGACAGGCTTGAACTGTCAACCTCCTGATGGAATTCACTGAATAACAGTCAGACGCGCTAGCCAATTGCGCCACAGAGGACTGCTTGATGAAAGGGCATCTGGCTACTCTGCTTTATGTTGCCGAATGCCATCGTGGGGACCAAAAATGTGGGAAATCCCGGCACTCCGCCAGACAAAAATAATCCTCCTCCGGACAGGCTTGAACTGTCAACCTCCTGATGACATTCGATGAATAACAGTCAGACGCGCTAGCCAATTGCGCCACAGAGGACTTGCTCATGTCGGGGTTGATCTTAATATTCATTATATGCTAGTGGTATATTCATTCTGGAAGAAGTTCAAGCGTCTCTTTGCCATTGGCTTGAATCTGAATACTCTATGGTTGAGAAATGAATTCTGCAATGTCTTGAATAGCGTATCTACCCGGATGAGTAATCATGTCTTCGTTATTGCAAATGATGCCATTCCTGGGTTGACATCGCGATGCGATCAATGCTGTGCAAACGCATACATTCATACAGCAAGATTTGACACGACTTGCATCAAATATAGAGGAAGACGACAGGCTACTTCCATAAATACAGTCCATTCACTCGGTCACTCAAATCTCCTTTCCCTTCCTGTGCGAAATAATGTAGCGGGGTTGCAAGCATCAGGATGCTTGGCTTGAGCATGTTTAGGGTAGGGCCCGGGCAGGCGATTCTCGGCTCAAAATACATCTTGCTCTGCACTGCATCCATGAACTTGCCACATATAGGACCATATCCTGGCGAAATGAAATGCACCGGCGCCTGTCGATTGGATCTGGCAGCGCTGTAGCCGTGACTGGGCTTTCTTCCCTAGAGCAGTGACCACCCACCCTAGTTGGCTCTGGATTCGGGTAGCTTCTTCCCCATCATCGACAGTAAAAGAGAAGACCGCGGAGGGAAAACAGCATAATTTTTCGACGAGCACCCATACGATTGGGATGGGTCATAATAAATGCCATAGTTGTGCTCTGTTGGCGTAATGGGTTTCCCATGCACTGATTGCCAATTGATGCACTGTCATTACTGGTCACCCGACTGGGGTACCAAGTCCAACATCACCATGCTACACAATCTGCGCCCATCTGCGCCGTCATCCGCACGCCAATGGTCTTCGAAAAGAGGCAGGTTAACTCATGGGGTAAAGTAGACAGTGGCAAAAGTGACACGCACAAAGAATGTAGAGACAAAAAGGCTACCGCCCCAGCACGAGAGGCAAAAGGTTAACACCCTCCTCCGGACAGGCTTGAACTGTCAACCTCCTGATTGCGTTTGAATAACAGTCAGACGCGCTAGCCAATTGCGCCACAGAGGATGTAGTTTGATTGGTTGCTGTGTGGGCTTGCTATTGAGTAATAGAATCCTCTGCGATGGTGGGCGAGGTGGAAGCATCCCCGGTTTGGGCCATATCCACTCACAACGCATCTAGCAACAAGTTCTGTACGGGGTATGTAAACAGAAATGGTCATAATGTAGTTCGGATTCCCCTCGCGTTCCACCAATCAGTACTCTTGGATTACCATCTCAATGCCCGGCATCTCGCTTGGGTGTTATCGGCGTTTTGGTTCTTCGACAGCCGGACGGGCAGGTGGCTGCGGGACCGGCAACTTACCGGCCCACCTCTGTCACTGACAGCGCCTTTGTCCTTGGGCGCTGCCACAGGAGCATCGCCTCTTCTTCATCGCTGTAGGTCCCGCTTTTCCTACCCTTTTATCTTATTCCCCGCCTCTCGCCCTTCATATGACATTGAGAATCCTCGTTGAGCAAACGTATAAATACTAAGGAAGACTCTGTCAGTTCTCTGTCCTGTTCTCTAACTCCATTCAATAGTCATCTTCTTCCTAAACCGGGCAAATAAACAGAAAATATTTCCTCAAGCCTTCGTGACCACCCTCTTCTGAACATGGCACCCTCTGCAGTATCACCAACTCAAGAGGCGACCCTACCTACTGTCAACATGAAGAAGTTGGCCTCCTCAAACTATGTTATTGAAGATGATGGCAAGGAGATGGAGTGCCATGTTGAAAGCATCTGCCGCGGCGGCAACATGTCACTGCGTAAGATACAATTCCCAACACCACCAACACAATAGCCTTGTCGCTAACAACAACCCCTTCGTTCCAGTTATCCCCTCCTTCACCTCCTTTCACGAACACCGAAAGCATATTGTGGTTCACATGGCGGCTGTGTTTCGCAACTGGGCTCGCCAGGGCTACACCGAAGGCATTTCTGGCCACATCAGCGTCCGCGACCCCGAATACTCAGACTACATCTGGATGAACCCCATCGGCAAGCACTTTGCCCTTCTAGATGGCAAGGATATGGTGTGCATTAGGATCTCCGACGGAGAGTTCGTCGGTGGCAACCGTGTAGGTTACTCCATCTCTTGGCACCTCTCGCGGCACTATCTGACACAAGACGTCCTACAGACTAGGCCCATCAACAACGCTGGCTACTATATCCACTCTGAGATTCACAAGGCCCGTCCTGACGTGCACGCAATCTGCCACGCCCATACCATTGCCGGCCGCGCCTGGTGTGCCTTTGGCAAGCCTCTCGACATGATCACTCAGGATGTCTGCGATCTCTACGGCGTCCTGACCGTCGACTCCGAGTACACGGCGCTCGCCACAGCCCAGCAAGAGGGCCAGCAGATTGCCCGAGCCCTGGGAACCAAGGGAAGGGCAGCGCTGCTGATGAACCACGGCATCGTCACCGTCGGCACCACAGTCGACGAAGCCTCCTTCCTCCTGGGCCTCGTCGACCGCAGCTGTGACATCCAGCTGCGCGTCGAAGCTGCGTGCGCCGGAAACCCGGAGCTCAAGAAGAAGATCATCCCTCACGAGCTGGCGCTCAACAACTTCAAGATGGCGGGTGAGAAGAACTGGCTTTACATGGAGGGTCAGCCGGACATTGAGCTGGAGATTGAACTGGCTGGTAGCCGGATCTCGGACGGGCTAGAGGATCTGAGTGTGGATGCTATGTAATGTGAACTTTGACCTCTAATTATCGCCATCTATCTATTATTCATTGGAATGACATTGCGAACCACCCAAACGGCACTCTTAGATCTTGCATGCTATCCACCTGCTCAAAACCCATCTGGACCTTATGCCCCGTAGACCGTTGCCAGCTGCAATGATCCTAAAGTTTGAGCCCCGCTATGTTTCGTACAGTAGTGTATTTGGCCGTAGCCCAATGTGCAACAGTCAACTGGAGCGCAGCCGCAGCAGGTGGACACTGAATGGTGCAGTTTTTGCTACCTAGTATTTGTGCGAGTATATCCTTCAAGCCACCTTTCTTCTAATTCTCCCTCCGTCTCCCCTTCCATCTCGTCCTGTGGCTGAGAAACAGCTACCAAGAGGGGCTCCTCGCAATGGTCAGAGTTGCCGCTGCGATTGTATAGATCCCCAAAGAGTCGAGCGAATGGAATGTCCCGGAAGCTTGAACCCTTCCGATTAAGATTCACACCTGGACTGTCAATTACGGCGAACCCATAGTAGCGAACGATGGGCTTGACAATAAAGTCAACGGGACGTTGGTAGAGTGGCCAGGAGGGGGGGTCAAATCCAAGGGGGTGAAATGACTCTATCTTCCTACCCTCTTCATCGAATGGGAATTCCTTGACCAAACCTGATTGTGGATGGCAAAAGTCGAGAGATATATCGCGCACCGAAGATATCATGAAGTCTACCACAGCAGCGCTCCTAAGCATCTTGGCAACCGTTTCTTCAATTCCGACAGGTCAGTTGCGGTGTTGATCAGAAACCCAAACTCTTCGAGGAAGAGATGCCTCAGATGATGCAGGTCTATGTATGTGGGATTTCCCGTTCGTGTGCCCCAATGGGATACAGACCAGTGACTTCGAGGAGGCCCCAGATGTCCAGGGACTCCTTGTCCAGCTTCACTATGTGTTCCTACAAAAGATTCACCCCCCTCGTGCAATTTCTTGTATGTGCAGCTATTGCTCAAGGGCACTTTATATCACTCTGCCGGGGTGGCGAGGACAGACACTCATTACCAACGCAACGTTTCCCAATGGAATGCAATCTGCCGCTCCTTGTATGCGTACCGCTGTGACAAGTTGGTAATTCCTCCACTGATGCTTGGAAATCCCAGGTGGCGGCATTGGCCTTACTCAAAACATGAGCGCTTGGCCCATCGATGGACCTGGCGCGATCGCAATCCAGCCTGGTTGGTTCGCTGGCAACATGCAGACAGAGTTCTTCATCAATATTGGATTTGGTGAGGACCCAGAAACATTTGATGTCCCCCTGGTCGCGCCATTCCGAGTATACGGGCCCAGCAATCGACCGTTCCCTGGCACGTTTTGCTTACCGGATATCTTTCTGCCTGATGGTAAACGGCCCAGAGATGGCGATTACGCCACAATCCAGGTCATCCAAGTTCACCAGACTGGCAACGCAGCGCATAACGTGAGCCCAGTAGATCGCTGATTGATCAACGGCATTTGCTGACCCATGGTGCCCTTTTAGTGCGTTGGCATTGTATTCACCAATGATGATGATGAGATCCCAGGCATCAACCCACACGACTGTTTCAATTCGGCACACATTATGTTAGAGCCGCTCTCGGATATAGTTGCAGGCGAAGGAGTTTCAATAGGAATAAAGGCGAGAATATGGGGCCTGTGGGAGACAATAATGGGCTACCTGTGGCATTTTGAAGGACTGTGGTGGTAATTCTACAAAACACCAATGGAGAGATGGGGCTTATGTATACTGATGAATGAGGGCCGAGGAGGGGCCCACGATTCACAGCTAGGGGGAAGGTTGGAAATCCCTCTGGAGCTCTGACCAAGAGAGAGAGAGAGAGAGAGAGGCCTCTCGGATTGTGGTTCTGCTGACGTAGAGCCGGCCCCAGCGCCTTGGTCCATTCATCCATCTTCTAAAGCTCTTAGGGACACCATTCAAGCTGCACATGATGTACTCGTGCGGCTGCTTTCATCCTGGGCCAGCTAGCGTCTGGTACACCATGTACAGTAGAACGGTGATATTAAGTCTGTTTCGACCATACGGTCAAGCGGTATTATATTTATATTGTCTATGTCTATGTTAAGTGTGCTGTATTCCGGAATTCGTCTCATCGTGATCCCACCCAGTGGAACAGTTAAGCATCGCTATCATCACTTACTCGACTTGAGTCAAGCTGCGTTTCCTTCAACATTTGGCAAAACGGACTATTTGCCCGGATAGCATCGCCATATCTCAAAAGCAAAAACGGCACAGCACACATTGGCAGAGTCATGCCTGCCAGAAGGGTGCTTGCCCATCCAATCCCCAGGTTCTGGTACATCGGTGTTGTGGCCAGTGGGAGAATGGCTCCAAAAATACTGCGCGTACATCCGGAGGCTGCCATTGCGGAGGCAGAAAAGCTCTTGTAGGCGTCGCCAAGGTAGTTGAAGAGACCGATGAAGATGAGCAGCGTCCCCATACCGGCGGGAATGCCGGCCAATGCTGGGACGACCCATGGCACATCACTTCTGGATGCCCAACCGAGCCAGAGAAGCGCTATGACGTACAGAGGACCGCCCAGACATACTATGGGCAAACGCCTGTTCTCTTCGTTGAGAGTCCATTCCATGCCCGCTTTGCGGCAACGGTTGAGGTATGCGTCGTATAGCAGAGCTACTGCCAAACCAATGAAAACGCCGGCGACAATGGGCAGGAACATGAGGCCGGACACTCCAGGGGAGAGCTTGTAAATTCCTTTGAACACCAAAGGATACGCCTGGAAATACATGTAGAAGATGGCATATACCATCGCCAGGTACAAGCAGGAGGCGGCGACGATCATCTCGCTACACAACATGTGTAGGGGACGCATGAGAACGACACCAGCCAAGTGCTTCCAGTCCGTTCCTTTGGTCTTACCGACTGTCCCTGACTTTTCTACTGCCTTGGAGACATTGCCCCCATAACGAGCAAGAAGAACAGGTGCATATGTCTCGGGCAGGAACATGAGAGGGACCCAAGTGACTCCAGCAAGAATGAGGGCGGCCCAAAAGGACCATCGCCACGAAGTGGACTCTGATACGAAGCCAGAGAGTGTGGGCGCCAGGAGAGGGCCGCACACGACCGCTGAAGTGAACATCGACATAATGCGACCTCGTGTTATGGGATCGTTGTAGATGTCTGCAAACAGGCCCCCGACGATGGTCAATGGGGCGCTTCCAAACATGCCTCCGAGGAAGCGGAAAATAAGAAAAATAGTCCACTCAGGAGCCAGCACGCAACCAAGAATGGAGAGGGTGTATCCGCCAAAGGTAGCAAGCATGGGGTATTGACGCCCATA